TTAAAGTTTGTTACAGAAAAACAACAAAAGGAAGAAAATCATATAACTTTCCAATGGTGTAGTAGAAGAAAACAATCTGGTCGAACCAATCTGCAGGTTATTAAATTTTATTTAAAATGCAATTAAAGTTCAGCACAGCCATCAAGAATAAATGATAAGTGTGGCGGAGGTGTGGGTTACAGATCTTGTTAAATGTTAAGTGAAGTCACGGTGAAGGTTAAGTGTATTTCCGTTTATTTTAAACTGTAAAAGGAAAGTAGGGGAAGGAGAAATGCTTTAAAAACATTAAAAAAACAAAGTTTAATGGTCTTATATACCTTAAAAAATATTGTTTTTCAGGCTCAAAAAGACTTTGAAAAATATATATTTTTTTAATGCACACATCATTTAGAAAAAAATATCAGACTTTGGCATTCTTAATAATAAACAAATCCGCTTAGGTTTTTTTGTCCTTTGAAAAACGTTGTTTTAAAAATTCAACCAGTAGACTTGAATGTCCTTTAAAATAGTTTTTTTTCATCGATTGAGTTTGTGTTGATGTCCTCTAAACATAAGTTTTATAATTCAATATTGACCCTTGAAAATTGTTTTGTTTCTTCATCCTCCCTTGAGTCGTCCTAAGCTTGTGGCTCTGATAGACTCTTAACCTTCCAATTTCGAAATTAAAAATTTAATTTCAGCTACCACATTTTTTAATTGTTATCCTCTCCCCCAAAGAAAAAAACATTACATCATTAAATCGTAATCCTACTCACCACCATCACCACCCAAAAATCCTGTCACACATCCTTTTTATGCTTTAAGGCAAACAAAATTAATGCTGGAACCAGAACTTTGAACTCTGTTTACAACTCATATTCCATGTTGTGTAGATAAAAATTCATTTTCATAAGTTTACGCCTAAAACCATATTTTTTAGTTGCTGCTCTGTTTTTTTTTTTTTCTTTTTTGTTGTCCTGCACAAGGATGCCAAAAGGTAAACAAACTGTAAAAACATAAACGTTCAGCGAACAAATGTTGACAAGATTTGGTATTTTTTTGTTTATTGCATGGAGTAGAGGGAGGTATATTTTTACTGTGATTTAGTATTTGTCGCTGTAGTTGCTGCTCTCCAGTGCAGGACATTAACACGTGCATCATGTCACTGTCGCATCCCTGAATATGAATAAAACAAAACAAAAAATCAGAATAAAAAAGGGGAATAAAAAATGGAATAAACAACGAAACAGAATTCATAAATCTGCATATGATTTCAGTTAGCAGCAGGGGGAGAGGCAAGTGGAGAAAATTTGTGATTCGACAGTTAAATATTTTATAGAAGTTTCTTTTAATATAGACGAAGTGAAGATGTACTGGGAGTCTACATATAAGCGTAGTGAAGCCAGTCTGACCAAGGACTCTTATATACGGGAGCTGAAGTCAGTCTGCATAGCGAGTTTATATATATATATATAATCCAGGCTGGCCACCCATACTGACCAAGGAGTCAATATCTAGACGATCTGAGATTTTAAATATGCACACCTGTAACTACGATAATCCTTCCTTGTTCTTACAAAAAATTCCCTATAAAATATGGGTTTGAAAACATTTTATAAAAAAATCCTTAGAAATTTGTGATTGTCCCTGAAAAAGAAGTCATTAAAGCTCCACACATATACCTATGATAGTTTTTGTGAAAATGTTAAAAAAAATGATAATTGTCCCAAAAAAAATGAGTTCCAATTTTTGGTTTAAAAAAATGATGGCCAAAGACAGACAAAGGAAAATATTGATTGATTATTTAATATTTTTCTTTACGAATGTCCCCATAAAAGAACAAAGTTAAGGTGAGATCCTACAAGAAGCATTTGGTAAGAAATTCAACCCTCTGATGTCCTTGAAAAAATAATAATTACAAAGTGCTCGACTTTGAAGTTCTGCAAAAAAAATCAGGACTTAGAGATCCTTTCAAAAATATAATTTAAAAAAATGAGCCATCACATAATCAGGCCAATGCCTATGATATCCTTTAACAAATAATGATAACTATTTCAGGACTTGATTAAAGAAACCTTTTCAAATTTGTGATTATCCTGAGAAGGAAGTCCATAAAGCTCCACACTTATACCTATGACAGATTTTGTGAAAAATTGTAAACAAATTAATTGTCAAAAAAAATCTTTAGAACCCTGGAGTTGTCTTTCAGAAAAAAATCCTTTATATTTCACACATACCTAGAGAAAATACCTCAAACATCTTTTCTCTGGGAAAGTCAAGTCAGAAATTAGTTATCATTATTTGTTAAAGGATATCATCTCCAATTCTCCTTTGGAAAAAATCCTTAAAAATCCACTTTATTCCCCTCAAGAAAAAATCCTCTAGGATCTTTAATTGTCCTTGAGAAAAAAATTCTTTAACTTCCCTTGAGGAAAATTTCCTAAAAACCGTTATTGTCCCATCTAAAAATGCAAAATTGTCCCATCTAGTCTTTAAAAAGTCCACGCTTAGTCCTTGAGAAATAGTCCCCGCTTAGTCCTTGAGGAAATAGTCTTTAAAAAGTCCACGCTTAGTCCTTGAGAAAATAGTCTTTAAAAAGTCCACGCTTAGTCCTTGAGAAAATAGTCTTTAAAAAATCCAAGTTTGGTCCTTGAGAAATAGTCTTTAAAAAGTCCACGTTTGGTCCTTGAGAAAATAGTCTTTAAAAAGTCCACGCTTAGTCCTTGAGAAAATAGTCTTTAAAAAGTCCACGCTTAGTCCTTGAAAAAATATTCATTAAAAACCCACGGTTAGGCCTTCAGGGAATATTTATTTTAAAATACACGCTTGGACCTTCAGAAATATTCTTTAAAAAAATCCACGCTTAGTGCTTGAGAAAAATCCTTTAGAATTTATGCTTAGGACCGACCTTACGATACCCTACACAACTACGACGGAGTTCTAACTTTCTGCGGATGCCTGGCAATATTTCGTGACATTTGCATCCTATTGCCCGATTAGAGGTCACTGACATATTTTCCATACACTGACATATTTTCCGAATATTTCTAATATTCTGTACAGCCTTCCAATTACTTGCCAAGATTGCCTTCACCGTGGGTTGTATGGTGATGTTCGGCTTATAACTGTTGCCTATAGATCGATTCGAAAAATACAAAAAAAAAAGTTTTCGGTCCACTTCATCCCAAAATTATTATCTGATCATCATTGAAAATTATAGGCGTTGTCCTCGACCATAACTGTAACCTTAGGGAAAATTCCAAAGCGATCAGCGCTATATTTCCGCCCTCCTGTGTGGTAATGGGTTACTAAATAATATCTGAATACGTAAGCACCTGTGAATATTTAAGTATAACTCCCACATTCGAGAACATACGACAATATAATTGATATCAATTTAAAGTTAAACCACTCCTCTTGGACATACTTCTCGGGTCTATGTCCTCCAGGAGTAAATATATACGCCATAGAATACAAAATTTTTCATTTTTCAGACCAAAGTCAGGGTCTATTAGACCCGCTAAACATTGACTGATCGTTATCAAATCAGGCATGCTTATTCTTTGGGCCAATCCCCTATCCATGTAAAAATTCGCGATGTTTGGGCCATAATTGCGGCCTCTGGAGCGACCAGAAAATCAGTCAAACATAAAGTTTTTGGTCCATTTCACCCCCTACATATTAACCGACCTTTACCAAAAACAATAGGGGTCTTCATTGGCTATAACCCATCCTACATGCAGAATTTCATGGAGATTGGTCCATAACTGTGGCCTGCATCGTGTTTACAAATTATAATGGATAGACGGATGAACACACATGTCTAGATCGACACAGCTAGTCGATATATGATGATCGGTATACTTAAAGGTGGGTCTAGAACCAATATTTCGCGGCGTTACAAACTCTTGGGGCTGCACAAAGCTATAATACCCTGACAACATTGTTGTATAGGGTATAAAAATCCATTTTTTTCATTCAATTGGTCTGTGAGAAAATATTTTTCGAAAAAAATTTCCCTTCTGCCACTTACTTTAGTAAAATTCAAGCTTCTTTCTCAGTTAGTTTTTTAGAAAAATCTTTAAAACTCCTCACTACAGTTTTCAATAGTCCTTTAGAAAATAATCTTTATAAAATCCCCTTTCTGATTCTGCTGGTCCTTAAAAAAATATTATTAAAAATATTGTAAAATCTGGGAAATAACAAATCCTTTAATGGTCCTTGAGAAAATATACTGGGTTGCGGTATTGCTGGTCCTTCAGGATTTTTTCCAGGCCTCTTGATCTTAAGATTTATTTTAAAACATCGCCTATCATGCCTCGGAAGGTTCTTGAGTATTCATTAATAATTAACGATTTTGGATATGCTGATCCCCAATATATTTAAAAAAATATTATCGATTGTAGGTTTTGCTGGAACAGTCCCCATATTTCCCATTGCATATGATTTCCATTAATATAGTTTTTTTTTCGAAATATTTTTCCATTTTATTTTCCACAATTCACGAGAAATTGTTTTTGAAAAAGAAAAAAACTAGAAAAAAGGACACCGACACAACGTAAACAAATGTGAATATAAAATATTTATATTTTATGTGTGTGTGAGGGTGGTTGTGTGTGTGCTTATGTAACTTTGTTGCAAATATGCATAACAATAAATGTCACATATACATAGAACTGTAAATACACACACACACACCTACACATATAGTGATGTTTATACGACCTCCCTGCAAACATAATAGAATGCCTATAAATATACGCTTATGATGGCAGCACATCACGGCAGTATGTCGGGCCGGATGTAGTCTGAGGGGGCCAACAATTTCACATTGAATGTTGCTAAAGTTATAAATAGAATTTTTACGTTAGCATATTTATATGCACATATATAAATAAAATATGTATGTAAGCAACAACAACAACATTGCCTTTTTTATTGTACCACCACCCCCATATGTCCTAAACATTTTCCTGTAATGTATTTTTTCTTACATCCTTTCGTTCTTCTTTGCTTGTTCCAGGATTTACAATCGGAAATTGAAACACATCGTGTGGTTTATGATCGTCTCGATGGTACTGGACGTAAATTGTTGGGTTCACTTACCTCACAAGAAGATGCGGTTATGCTCCAACGGCGTCTGGATGAAATGAATCAACGTTGGAATAATTTGAAATCGAAAAGTATTGCCATAAGGTAAGTTCGGAAAGAAAAAAATGAAAAAATATATACATACAATATACGATGAAAGAAAATATGTGAATATATAGGAAAATATATGCATGCAACATGAGGTATTGTTGTAAAGGTAAAAGGAAATAAACTATATTCCGGAGACATCTTGACTCCGTATGTAAATTTTCTGTCCATGCAATTTCCGAATGGTAAATGATGAACAAAATTGAGTTCCAATTTTTGGTTTAATAAAATTGTGGCCAAAGGTAGACAAAAAGCAGAATATTGAATATTTTACATTATTGTGTCCCCACAAAAAGAAGCAAGGATATGGTGAGATCCTCAAAGTAGCATGCTTGGAAAAAGCTCCTGGAAAAAATATTAATTGAAAAATTAAATTCTGTGATGTCCTTCCAAACATACCAATTTAAAATGCTGAACTACTAAAGTTTCTTCCAATATTAAAGGCCGCTTTGGTCCTGAAAAAGATAGGCCTACGATAGCCTTGAAAAAATAATAATAAATATCTCAGGACATGGAGGTCCTTACAAAAACCTGAAAAACTCCTGCCTAGGGGAACCTTGAACAAATGTTATTTAAAAAATTCAGGATCCTAAAAAATATTTACTTCAAAAATTCAAATATTTAGGGCATTGAAGTCTTTGATAAAATGTTAATTGAAAAATCCAAGGCTGTGAAATCTTTAAAAACATATTAACTTAAAAATCCAGAACTTTGGGGTCATTGGAAAATTTTTAAACTGACAAAAGAGACCTACAAATTCAGGTATTTGCAGTCATTAACAAAATTCAGGACTTTGGGATCCTTGAAAAATCATTTATTAACATATTCTAGGACTGTGCGATTCTTGGAAAAACACTTCTTTAAAATTATGGCCTCTTATGGCCATACAAAAATATTTTAAACCAGTAAGGAAAGTAATAAAGTCGGACTGGGCCGACTATATGACATCCTTCATCACTTTAGGTATATTGTACGTAGGTATCCTTACAATTGCATGTCACTGTTCCCTCGAAGGAACATGCTCATGTATTTTTGCAACCTTTGAAAAATTTAATTTCATTCGGGCAGATTTAGAGTCGTCTGCGTACCATGGGACAAATTTATGGAAAACGATTTATAGCAAAATTGATACACGCTATTCGGTACGTCACACTGTTAAAAATTTAATTTCAATCTGACACCCGTTCGAAATACATATGGAAGCAATGGCGGCATCTGCACCCATTACAACAAAACGCAATAACATCATTTAAGGCTCAATTTGATACGTTGTGCAAAATTTCGTGTTAATCGAACAAACATTAGGAGTATGGTGCACCATTTATGTAAAATCGGACGAATACTTATGCGTATGTTGGAGCTAAATCGAAATCCGAACAGATTTTCCCGAAATTTACCACTCAAAATTTCAGTCTCAATTCAGTACGCTATGCCAAATTTCGTGAAAATCGAAACATATATAGGGACTTTGGTACACCATTTACCTTAAATCGGACGAAAATATATATGGAAGCTATATCTAAATCTGGACCGATTTTCAGGAAACACAGCACACATCATTCTGGACCTAATTCATTACGATGTGTCAAATTTCGCGCAAATCGAAAGATATGTAGGGACTTTGGTGCACCAAATACATTAAATCGGAAGAAAATATATATGGGAGCTATATCTAAATCTGGACCGATTTAAACGAAATTTGGCACACATCATTTTAGGCTTAATTCAATACGCTGTGCCGAATTTCGTGCAAATCGAAAGATATTTAAGGACTTTGGTGCACCATTAACCTTAAATCGGACGAAAATATATATGGGGGCTATATTTAAATCTGAACCGATTTTTCCCAATTTCCATAGTGTTCGTCCTTGGGCCAAATAAATGAGCTGTACGAAATTTCATCCAATTCGGATAATAAATGCGGTCTGTACTTTGTTTACAATTTAACATGGGCAGACAGACAGACGGACGGACATGCATAAATCGACTTAGAAAGCGATTCTATGCATATTCTCAAAAGGAACCATTTGTCTGTCTCGTTTCCTTTTGCCTGTTACAAACATATGCACTAACACATAAAAACCTGTACCACAGTGTGGTGATGCGTATAAAAAAATCTTTAAAATTATCACCACAGATCCTTAAAAAAATTTCAATCAGATAAGCATGCATACAGGCCTTTAAGTCAATATCAATATATATGTCTGGCTTCGATTTGTCTACAGATATTGACTATCAGTCCAATAGACTCAGATCGCATATAGAAATAGACTCACAGGTCAGGCAATTCGGATAAAACTCGTCTATAGAAGTAAACTCAACCAGTCGGCCTGAGCTTCAGTCTTCTTTATTCTGAGCCTTGAAAAAATACTCCTTAGAAATCTACGGCTTATTCTGAGCCTTGAAAAAATACTCCTTAGAAATCTACGGCTTATTCTGAGCCTTGAAAAAATATTCATTAAAAATCTACGCCTGATTCTGAGCTTAAAAAAATAATCTTTAAAAATCTACGCCTTATTCTGAGCCTTGAAAAAATACTCCTTAGAAATCTACGGCTTATTCTGAGCCCTGAAAAAATACTCCTTAGAAATCTACGGCTTATTCTGAGCCTTGAAAAAATATTCATTAAAAATCTACGCCTGATTCTGAGCTTAAAAAAAAACAATCTTTAAAAATCTACGCCTTATTCCCAGCCTTAAAAAATATTCTTTAAAAATCTACGCATTATTCTGAGCCCTGAAAAATATTCTTTAAAATCTACGCCTTTCTCACTTCGACAAGACCCTCAAAAAATGTTTTTTAGAAAATCTACGCCTTTCTTACTTCGGCAAGACCCTGAAAAAATAATTTTTAGAAAATCTACGACTTTCTGACTTTGAGAAAACCCTGAAGAACTATTTTTTTTAGAAAATCCAGGTCTTGGAAAGAACCTTAAAAAATATTTTTAAAAAAATCCAAAATCTTTCGAAGATCCTGAAAAAGTCCACGCCTTGCAAAGACCCCTAAAAAATATTTAAAAAAAAAATCCACGCCTTCGAAAGATCCTGAAAAAGTCCACGGCTTTCAAAGACATCTAAAAAATATTTAAAAAAAAATCCACGCCTTCGAAAGATCCTGAAAAAGTTCACGTCTTGCAAAGACATCTAAAAAATATTAAAAAAAAAAAATCCACGCCTTCGAAAGATCCTGAAAAAGTCCACGCATTGCAAAGACATCTAAAAAATATTTTTAAAAAAATCCACGACTTCGAAAGATCCTGAAAAAATCCACGCCTTGCAAAGGCCCCTATAAAATATTTTTAAAAAAATCCACGCCTTCGAAAGATCCTGAAAAAGTCCACGCCTTGCAAAGACTCCTAAAAAATATTTTTAAAAAAATCCACGCCTTCGAAAGATCCTGAAAAAGTCCACGCCTTGCAAAGACATCTAAACAATATTTTTAAAAAAATCCACGCATTCGAAAGATCCTGAAAAAGTCCACGCCTTGCAAAGACATCTAAAAAATATTTTTAAAAAAATCCACGCCTTCGAAAGATCCTGAAAAAGTCCACGCCTTGCAAAGACATCTAAAAAATATTTTTAAAAAAATCCACGCCTTCGAAAGATCCTGAAAAAGTCCACGCCTTGCAAAGACATCTAAAAAATATTTTTAAAAAAATCCACGCCTTCGAAAGACCCCGAAAATATATTTTTTAAGAAGTCCACGCCTTGGAAAGGCCTTCGAAAATTATTTTTTTAAAAGTCCATTCCATTGCTAGACCCTAAAAAATGTTCTGTAAAAGTTCACGCCTTGACAAGATCCTGAAAAATATTTATTTTGAAAATCCACGATTTGGCAAGACCGCAAAAGAAAATTTAGGAAGTCCACGCCATGTGAAGCCTCTGAAAAAATACTTTTTAAGAACTCCACACCACGGCTAGACCCTGAAACATGTTCTGTAAAAAATCCACGCCTTAACAAGATCCTGAAACACACATTTTTCTGAAAAAATGTTTTTTTAGAAAATATTTCATATGTTTTTTTTTTAAATGCACGCCTTGAAAAAATATTTTTCTTTTTTAAAACTACGTCTTAAAAAATATTTCTCAAAAAATTTCTCAAAACGCCTTGACAAGGCCTTTAAAAAGTATTTCTTCAAAAATCCACGCCTTGAAAAGTTTAGAAAGTCCACGCTATGACAAACCTCTGAAAAAATATTTTTTAAGAACTCCAAACCACGGCTAGACCCTGAAACATGTTCTGTAGAAAATCCACGGCTTGACAAGATCCTGAAAACACATTTTTCTCAAAAAATGTTTTTTTTTTAGAAAATATGTTATGTTAAATTCGCGCCTTGAAAAAAATATTTCTTAAAAAATTTACGCCTTGAAAAAGTATTTCTTAAAAAAATTACGCCTTGAAAAAATATTTCTTAAAAAATCTACACCTTGACAAGGCCTTGAAAAAATATTTCTTAAAAAATTTACGCCTTGACAAGGCCTTAAAAAAATATTTCTTAAAAAATCTACACCTTGACAAGGCCTTGAAAAAATATTTCTTAAAAAATCCACGCCTTGACAAAATATTTCTTAAAAAATTTACGCCCTAAAAAATCCAAGCCCTAAACAAATATTTCTTAAAAAATCCACGCCTAAAAAAATATTTCTTAAAAAATCCACGCCTTAAAAAAATATTTCTTAAAAAATCCAGGCCTTGAAAAAATATTTCTTAAAAAATCCACGCCTTGAAAAAATATTTCTTAAAAAATCCACGCCTTGAAAAAATATTTCTTAAAAAATCCACGCCTTGAAAAAATATTTCTTAAAAAATCCACGCCTTGACAAGGTTTTTTTTTAAGTCCAAGCCTCGGAAAGACCCTGAATAATTTTTTTAAAAATCCACGCCTTGTCCAGACCCTTACAAAATACTTTTTAGGAAATTCACGATTATATTGGTCCTTAAATATTTGTTTTGAAAAATTTACGCCTAAGTAATATTCATTTAAATATCCATGCCTTATTTGTCCTTGGGAAAATATCCTTAAAGAATCCATGCCTTATTAAACCTACTTTCTTCACATTGTAAACAATACACCAAGAATTCCCAACAAAAAAATCGGAAACGGAAATGTAACCCAAAACAAAAGAACAACAATAATAGGTTAACAAAAAAACAAAAAGAATTTAATTTCCTGTTCCGAGTAATTTCGTCATCAAGACATGCTCATTAGAGGCCGGCTTCACTCAACAGCAGAATCCTCAACATCATCTCCCCACCAACATTCCTTGAAATGGTATAGTGATGATGGTGGTTGGCTGTCACACTGCCTGTGATGATGACCTTCATTACCAACACCATCATCAAAAACTTTGGGAGGCATATCATTTGCTCTTCTAATACCCAATTATTTTTTGTGGTCGCGGTAAATTGTTTTCTGCTTCTTCTTCTTCTCTGTTTGTGCCCAAAATTCTTGATACACTTAAGTAAAACAATTAGTATTATTTTCCATTAGGTTGCAACGGTAAGAGGGTGTTTGTTGTTGGTTTTTCTGTGTCCAGATGAATGATGCGAAAAATTAGAGAAAACCACAAGAAATGAAGAAAATGTGAAAATGCCCCGAGACAAGGACGATGGAGAAGTAGACATTTGAAAGGAATTAGGAATATCGTAAACGGAATAGCACATTGGCTGTCATTGACATTTGACAGTTTTTGTGGTTTAATGAAAACCAACACATAGACGATAACATGCATAGAAGACACACACACACACATCTCCGTACACATTAAAAGGCCTATAAAATACTCTGTGTGAATATTTACAACTACAACAATACGCTTATAATGGCATGTTGTTGTTGTAGTTACATTAATTGTTATGTCGCGTTCCCTGTACGAATCAAGAAAATCCATTATTGTTGTCCCATCATCTTCATCATCCTCCTGCTGTGGCTGTGATGTCCTAGGTAAGCAATGAACTCCATCCTGAAGTAATGACAAATGATAAATCCAGTATATCCGCCAAAAGCACACCCACACACACATACCCAAACATGATTCCTGTTTTCGTATTTTTCTTCTAGCAACCAACTATAAAATCCTCCTTAAGGGTACACCTTTACAGGTTGGGGAGCGGGGATGGAGTCAGATTATAAATGTTGTCTTTAGTGTGGCCATCCTGACAAATAATAATAGTAAAACTTAATGATAATGCTAATGACAAACATTTGTTTCATTGTCCACAAAAGGTGATGCTGGGGTTTTTTTGTTTGAAAATTAGTGGGAGATTAGCTGACAAGGACAGGTTTTTAAAAAATAGTATACAAGGAGATTAGAGATAAAATTTACATAATAAAATATAAGTCTTTATAGGCTAGGTAAAAGGGAGGTTCTTAAAGGTAGATAAGAATGAAAAACTTAAAGGAAGAGTATTTGGAAAATTTTTCTTTAAAATTCCAAGACGTATTCTGAGCCTTGGAAAATGTTTCTTTAAAAATCCAAGACTTATTCTGAGCCTTGAAAAAATATTCTTTAAAAATCCACGCCTTCTTCTGAGCCTTGGAAAATTTTTCTTTAAAAATCCAAGACTTATTCTGAGCCTTGAAAAAATATTCTTTAAAAATCCACGCCTTCTTCTGAGCCTTGGAAAATTTTTCTTTAAAAATCCAAGACTTATTCTGAGCCTTGAAAAAATATTCTTTAAAAATCCACGCCTTCTTCTGAGCATTGAAAAAAAGATTCTTTCAAAAATCCACGCCTTGTTCTGAGCATTGAGAAAAATATTCTTTCAAAAATCCACGCCATGTTCTGAGCATTGAGAAAAATATTCTTTAAAAATCCACGCCATGTTCTGAGCATTGAGAAAAATATTCTTTAAAAATCCACGCCTTGTTCTGAGCATTGAAAAAAAAAATTCTTTCAAAAATCCACGCCTTGTTCTGAGCATTGAAAAAAATATTCTTTAAAAATCCACGCCTTGTTCTGAGCATTGAAAAAAATATTCTTTAAAAATCCACGCCTTGTTCTGAGCATTGAAAAAAATATTCTTTAAAAATCCACGCCTTGTTCTGAGCATTGAAAAAAATATTCTTTAAAAATCCACGCCTTGTTCTGAACATTGAAAAAAATATTATTTCAAAAATCCACGCCTTGTTCTGAGCATTCAAAAAAACTTCTTTCAAAAATCCACGCCTTGTTCTGTGCATTCAAAAAAACTTCTTTCAAAAATCCACGCCTTGTTCTGAGCATTCAAAAAACTTCTTTAAAAATCCACCCCTTGTTCTGAGCATTGAAAAAAATATTCTTTAAAAATCCACGCCTTGTTCTGAGCATTGAAAAAAATATTCTTTCAAAAATCCACGCCTTGTTCTGAGCATTCAAAAAAACTTATTTCAAAAATCCACGCCTTGTTCTGAGCATTCAAAAAAACTTCTTTCAAAAATCCACGCCTTGTTCTGAGCATTGAAAAAAATATTTAGGGACTTTGGTGCACCATTTACATAAAATCGGACGAAAATATATATGGGAGCTATATATAAATTTGGACCGATTTTCACGAAAATTAGCACACATCATTGTAGGCTTAATTCAGTATGCTGTACCAAATTTCGTGCAAATCGAAAGATATTTAGGGATTTTGGTGCATCATTTACCTTAAATCGGACGAAAATATATATGGGAGCTATATCTAAATCTGAACTGATTTTTTTCAATTTCAATAGGGTTTGTTCTTGGGCCAAATAAGTGTCGTATGCCAAATTTCATCCAATTCGGATCATAAATGCGACCTGTACTTTGTTTATAATTTAACATGGACAGACAGACCGACGGACGGACGGACATGCATAAATCGACTCAGAAAGTGATTCTATGCATATTCTCAAAAGGAACCATGTGTCTATCTCGTTTCCTTTTGCCTGTTACAAACATATGCACAAAGACATAATACCCTGTACTACAAAGTGGTGAAGGGTATAAATAGTTATCTGATTTATTCCGCGTTTTGAGTTTGGTTCTAAGACTCTGTTGTAATCATTTCATCATGCGGAGGAGATAAAAAATTAGAACGTAACGTTCGATAATGAACTATAGCCTCATTTAGGCCTAGCCCCTGTGTGAAGGTTCGAGAACTAAGTTTGGAAGAACTAATAAGATGGACAAAGTTTGAATGAAATCTAAATTTTCTGAAACGAATTTGGTCCAAAGAAACATGGGGTCTAGAACCAATATTTCGATGAGACACATTTTCACGGTGTTAAAGTGTATACACCCTCATTAGCCAGAAGGATGAGGGTATATTATCCAATAAAAAATTCTGAAATTTGTATTATGGTTGACATAATCCGTTTTTAGAAATGTCGGTATAGGTCCACTTTTTGGTATGTTCCCCATATTTTCATTTCTAGTACCTGTCAGTATATCTATGGTGGAGGGTATCCAAAGTTCGGCCCTGCCGCACTTAACGCTTTTTCACTTGTTCTTCTTCAAATTATTCCAAGAAAAATGTGAAAATGTTTCATTATCTAAAACGAAAATTATGTCATCACATTTAATCACATTCTTCTTCTTCTTCTATTTTCTTTTCAATTTCAATTAATTCGTTCTTGGATAGTTTTTCAGGCCACTACTCCTTCAGGCTATAATAGATCTCCTTTTTTGTTCTAATTTTAATTCAACACATTTGGTGTGTGTCATCTAATCGTAGTAATTAAAAATCTCCTTAATCTTTGTCTTAATCTCTTATTTCAATTATAATTTTTTTTTCAAGCAATCTGTAAGTGTGTGTGTGTGTCATGGCACATAAAAGATGTCCTGTTAATGATAAGAAAAGAGCGTATTTTTTATGTTAGCTAAAAACATAAAAATGTTTCATTTCTCATAAAAAGCGAAGAAGGAAAATATAATGGAAAAATTCCCAAGAATTGTGTCATAAAAAATATTAGAAAAAAACTTGCTAAAGTATGAAAGAAGGCTAGAAAGGAGTTTATGAGGAAAAAACGAAATTACAAAAAATAAAGAATATAGACAAAAACTAAAAAAAAAAAAATATCTTGTAATTTCTTTGGGGCAACATTTTGCCATGATTTCATATTACCACAGCTTTTGTTACATTTCGTTGGTTACTTAATTAATTTTGTTGTTTTCTTTTTTTTTTACTCGTAATAGTTTGTGGTGTTAGTGTTGCATTCTTTATTAAAATGTGTAATTTTTTTTTTTTCGTTCCAGAAACCGCCTCGAAAACAATTCAGAACACTGGAATGCTTTGCTGTTGACCCTACGCGAACTTACCGAATGGGTCATACGCAAGGACACTGAATTGTCCACCTTGGGCATGGGTCCTGTACGTGGTGATGCTGCCAGCCTACAAAAACAATTGGTAAGTAATAAACATTTGATATATTAGAAATCAAAATCTTAAAGTAATGAAAAAAAATCGAAGCCTCACTTAAGAAATCCACGCCTGTTAATAGATCTTGAATAAATAATATAAAAAATAACGCCTTTGAAAAAATATTTTAAAAAAATCCGCGTCGTATAATAGTCCTTTAAAAATATTTAAAAAACCAGTAAGGAAAGTAGTAAAGTCGGGCGGGGCCGACTGTATGATAGCCTTCACCACTATGCATCCTAAAAGAAGGGCCATTAACATGAAATTGGAAATGAACATGAAATTGGATGATCTTAAATATGTGACCTTTATCGAAATGTGAACTGACTTAGATCAATCCATAAATATGTCATTCGTTTGTTGCAATGGGACAAAATTATGTAAATCGATTTAAAGCAAATATCAAAAATATCAAAATGCTCAATTTTCGGATGAAACTATATATGGAAGCTTTCTCGCAATTTTTTCTTAGCAATAAACATATGTTTTGAATTAGTGAGATGCCACCTAGTCTTTTTCACAAATTATGTCAAATATGTATGTAAAAAATGGCAAATTCTGTTTCAATTTTTTAAAGTTATTACCTACGTAGATCAATAACCGTGGTACATTTGTACCCATCCAAAGATAGCTCTGTAACTCATTGTTTTAGTCCCTGTATACCAAAGGGAAACCAAGGTAGTTTCTGATTTCCATGAGTTGCCCTGATGGTCCCATGTTGTCCAGGGCCACAAAAATTTGCAGAGGGGTTGAGGAACACCTAAATAAGATCCCAATAAAAAAATAACTAGAAAAGCTTAACCAATTCGAAAGCTATAACGAATTTACTATGATTGTTTTAGATATATGATCATTTAAGCATGGTTTTAAATATATATTATTTTAATGTATATATATAATTTTGAGTTCCTACATCTAGACCAGATCCGTATAGACTAATTAAAAACAAAAAACCTCACGATAGTCCAATTTTTTAATGAGTTACAGAGCTATCTTTGGATGGGTACAAATGTACCACGGTTATTGATCTACGTATACTTTTTTGGTTATTGACCGTAGGGTTAAAATCGGACGAAACTATATATGGGAGCTATATCTAAGTCTGAACTTTATTCTAAATTTTTGTCAATCGGCCTAATTTTGGGTCTTTGGTGCCCCATTTATTTTAAAATATATATGGGAGCTATATCATTCTAGACTCCATTCAGTACGCTACGCCACATTTCGTGGAAATCGAAAGACATATAGGGACTTTGGTAAACCATTTACCTAAAATCGGGCGAAACTATATATGTGAGATATATCTAAATCTGAACCGATTTCCAAGAAATTGTACACACATCATTCTTGACTCAATCTAGTACGCTGTTCCAAATTTCGTCCAAATCGGAAGATATATAAGGACTTTGGCATACCATTTACATAAAATCGGTCGAACATATATATGGAAGATATATGTAAATTTGAACCGATTTCCAAGAAATTTTACACACATCATTCTAAACTCAATCTAGTACGCGGTACCAAATTCCGTGCAAATCGGAAGGTATATAGGGACTTTGTTACACCATTTACGTAAAATCGGGCGAAACTATATATGGGAGCTATATCTAAATCTGAACCGATTTTCAAGAAATTTTACACACATCATTCTAGACTCAATTCAGTACGCTATGCCAAATTTCGTGCAAATCGGAAGATATATAGGGACTTTGTTACACCATTTACATAAAATCGGTCGAACATATATATGGGAGCTATATCTAAATCTGAATCGATTTTTAAGAAATTTTACACACATCATTCTAGACTCAATCCAGTACGCTATGCCAAATTTCGTGCAAATCGGATGATATATAGGGACTTTGTTACACCATTTACATTAAATCGGACGAAAATATTTATGGGAGCTATATCTAAATTTGAACAGATGTTTTCCAATTTCAATAGGGTTCGTCCTTGGGCCAAATAGACGAGCTGTGTCAAATTTCATCTAATGATAGACTTTAAAAATTTATTCTTGATCCAAGGGACTTTGTTACACCATTTACATAAAATCGGTCGAACATATATATGGGAGCTATATCTAAATCTGAACCGATTTTCACGAAATTTAGCACACGCCATTCTAGACTTCATTCGGTATGCTATGCCAAATTTCGTGCAAATAGGATGATATATAGGGACTTAGTTACACCATTAACACCATTGACATTAAATCGGACGAAAATATATATGGAAGCTATATCTAAATCTGAACAGATGTTTTCCAATTTCAATAGGGTTCGTCCTTGGGCCAAATAGACGAGCTGTGTCAAATTTCATCTAATGATAGACTTTAAAAATTTTTTCTTGATCCAAGGGACTTTGTTACACCATTTACATAAAATCGGTCGAACATATATATGGGAGCTATATCTAAATCTGAATCGATTTTCAAGAAATTTTACACACATCATTCTAGACTCAATCCAGTACGCTATGCCAAATTTCGTGCAAATCGGATGATATATAGGGACTTTGTTACATCATTTACATTAAATCGGACGAAAATATTTATGGGAGCTATATCTAAATTTGAACAGATGTTTTCTAATTTTAATAGGGTTCGTCCTTGGGCCAAATAGACGAGCTGTGTCAAATTTCATCTAATGATAGACTTTAAAAATTTATTCTTGATCCAAGGGACTTTGTTACGCCATTTACATAAAATCGGTCGAACATATCTATCTAAAATCTATATCTAAATCTGAACCGATTTTCACGAAATTTAGCACACGCCATTCTAGACTTAATTCGGTATGCTATGCCAAATTTCGTGCAAATAGGATGATATATAGGGACTTTGTTACACCATTAACACCATTGACATTAAATCGGACGAAAATATATATGGAAGCTATATCTAAATCTGAACAGATGTTTTCCAATTTCAATAGGGTTCGTCCTTGGGCCAAATAGACGAGCTGTGTCAAATTTCATCTAATGATAGACTTTAAAATTTTTTTCTTGATCCAAGGGACTTTGTTACACCATTTACATAAAATCGGTCGAACATATATATGGGAGCTATATCTATTCTATGCATTTTCACGAAATTTAGGAACCATGTGTCTATATCGTTTCCTTTTACCTGTTACAAACATATGCACAAAGACATAATACCCTGTACCACAGAGTTGTGAAGGTTATAAATAGACATTGAAAATAGTTTTTAATAAATTCACACGTAGAAATAGGCCCTTGACTTTTAAAAATAGTTTTTAATAAATCGACGCCTAATGATAGGCTTTAAAAATGTATTTTTTGATCCAAGCCTGAATAATAATATTTTCTATAAAGAAAATTATTCCAAATTTATAGTTGTCTTAAAACGATTTTTTAGAAGCCATGCTTGTGTTGATTTTTGGAAAAAAATCCGACTGATGGTCCTTGAAAAAATCCATACCTTATTACCTTGAAAATATATTCTTTGAAAAAATAGTTTGAAAAATATTTCTTAAAAATCCACCCGGAAACAATTTTTCCTGATTGTAAAAACTTGCCCCCATTTTTATGTGTTACAGTTACTTTATAGTGTACATCATCTTTTTATTTCAATTCGAAATTTTTATGGTCATCATTACTTCAATACAACCGTTCATTCATATATCCGTTCATTCATTCGAACATCCATTCATCCATCACTCCCATTTCTCGATGGATGGCATTGTTGTACATTTCATTTTTAAATGGCATTTTGTGGTATAACCATAAAAATACCACAATTATGGTAGTGGTGGTGATGCTGGTTGTCCGTGTGTGTGTGTGTTTCTCATTCTGTGTACATCTGTGTGTGTGTATCTGAATACAAGTGGAAATCTTCTTCAACTCATATCATGGCCTCTTGCAACCTTTGCTGTGGCGATACGTGCCAACCCTTTTTTTGGCCATGTTGTCTGAATGGCCGAGGAAAAATGTAAAAATATTTCTCCGTATGTGTGGGTATGTGTGTGCGAGTATTTCGATATATGAAACATTGTCTGCTGAATAACAGCAACAACAACAATATAAACATGTGTACATAACTGTTGTTCACTTTAATGTTTTTCCATGTTTTTATTAATGAAATCATATACGAGTATGTGGTCGATGACCAGGGGCGTAATTTAACATAGAGGAGGTATTGGACTATTAAATCGAAATCAGAAAAAAATGATTTTGAAATCTCCTCAATGAGAGATACGAGATTTTACTAAATTAGGAATGAAGTTCTAAGGTAGATCCTGGAAAATGTTTATAACCACCACCCTGTTACTGCGAAACTAACATTAAAAGATAGTCGGGATTGTTAGTTTGTTTGTTTTATGTGTACCACTTTTGGCCACTATAGTTACAATTCGCCACACCATCCAACCACCCACCCCTTCCCTTGTCCACACAATTCCATAATTAATTTTCATGTGTTCCTTTATAACACACGTATTCGTGTTTTCTTCTTTTTCTACACCTCCTTCCCTCCCCCTCTTTACTAATAAAGTCTTCAATCTTGCTGTTATTTTCTCTAGACAGTGCTGCTGCTTCGACTGCTGTTGCGTATGAGTAACATTAATTATTATTATTTTCATTATTTAATTATATTTCTACGACTTTTACGTGAGCATGAGGCACAGCATGCGTGTAGGTAGTTGCCAGGAATCGCATAAAAAGGAAACCCCATTAATTATTGTTATGTTTAATAATTTAAGACTACCCGACCAGAGAGTTAAATTATTAAACACATGACACTGTTTATTAAATCGAAATAAATTTTCATTAATTAAGTAGGCAAAGATGGTGGTGTGCGGGAAAATTGGAGAAAATGATAAATTTATTTGTGTAATTTTCTCGGGATCATAATTCATTGGACATCTTGTTGAAGGTAGTTTGAGACTAAACAAGAAAAACATAATCCCTAATTTATTAAAAATAAATATTCTCTAAAAATGCAGGATTTTCTATACCTTTAA